GAATTTCTTCTGTGGCTCCAGCCCCCACCAGCCTTTTGGTTTTAGTTTCCACCAGCCAACAGGTGGTAGTGGCTTCCTGCTGTTGCCAAATTCTGGGTCACCTAACTTCCTGTGTGTTTCCTCACCTCTTCCAACACTCGTGTATCCATGTGCCAGAACTGAGGTTCCTCTTGCCTAAATAGGTGATTTCTGCTTTTCTGGCTGAACTCTGACTTTTCATGTACATGTTTCCTTCTTTTGCCCTGCTGCCCAAATGCATGAATTAACAACTAGGTCCTATTTCTTCCTTGTTACAATAACAAGGAAGCGTTGCATTTATTAAATTCTGCAGATCTTTCAAACCTTACTTGTTTAACAGTTAAAACTATGGGTCCTGGCATGAGAGCAATCTGGTGCTGACTCCTTGCTCCGATGTCACTTACCAGCTGTGTGATCTTTCACAAGTTATCTAAACTCATTTGGGGAGTGAACTAGCAGATGGGAGTGCTCTGTCTCTCCCTGTCAAAGAGAAAACAAACAAACAAAAATAATCTCTAGATTACTTATAGTACCTAATATAAAATAGTTGTTATACTGCATTGTTTAGGGAATAGTGACAAGAAAAATAAGTCTGTACATGTTCCATTCAGCTACATTCTTTTTCCAATATTTTTGATGGCAGTTGGTTTAATCCATGCATATGGAACCTGTGGATACTGAGGGACAGCCATCCAGTAAGCCCTGCTGTGGTTCTCACCTTGCTTTTTGGCCCTGTTTTCCATCATCAAACCTACGTTATTCTGCAGTAAGATATACCAGCTAGGAGTGGGGCTGATTCTTAGATATATTAATTGATGAATAGATTTTCCTGTGCTCAGCCTTGAATTTAAGAATTAGTGGAAGCCCGGTGCTGTGGCCTAGCAGGTAAAGGCACTGCCTGCAATGCTGGGGTCCCATGTGGGTGCCAGTTCTAGTCCTGGGTGCTCCACTTCTGATCCAACTCTCTGCTATGGTCTGGGGAAAGCAGTGGAAGATGGCCCAAGTCCTTGGGCCCTGCACCCGCATGCGAAACTTGGAAGAAGCTCCTGGCTTCTGGCTCCTAGCTCCTGGCCCTGCTCCGGCTATTGCATCCATTTGAGGAGTGAACTAGCCTAGGGAAGACCTGTCTCTCTCCTCTCTGCTTCTGCCTCTCTGTAATTCTGACATTCAAGCACAATGAATAAATCTTAAAAAAAAAAAAAAAAAAGAATTAGTGGAGGACCAGGCTTAACGACTTCTGTCCCACCTTATTCTTTTTACTTCCTGTCTTCTTGTCTCACATCCTCTCTTTTCTGAAAAGTCAGATTAATTCCCAGCATTTTCATAAAACTTCCTCTGAGTATTTCAAGCCAATCGGGTGGTTGCAGTAGTATACATCTAATCTCCAGGCCCCTCGCAGATTTTTACAGAGAAGATCTCCTCTATGCGCTGAGCCTAAAGAACACCCTGCCAGGCAGCCTGTGGCACTCTTGTTTTGCAATAACACTCCAGGCACTGCATGGCTGCTGGGGCTGCGCCTTTCTTTGGCTGAAGACTGGTTTCATTAACAAGCATGTTCACACTTCAACTGGAACATTTAAAGTAACACCACACAATGTGTTTAGTGTCTAGTTAATTATTAAGCCTCTGAGCTTGAATTATTCAAGCAAAATTGATTGGGTTCAACCTTCTTCCTTCTTTTTGTACTTTTTTTTTTTTTAAGTAAAAATAAATTCTCCCCTGTACTCTCTAAATAATGTGGAAAGGGTTATTTAGTAGCCATCAATATCCTGGACTGTGGGTGGTACTCAAGTGCTAATAGAGGTAGAGAGAACCAGCAGCTCAAGTCTTTTGTTGAAAAATGTACCTGCATCTCATATACTTCCACTGTTAATTAGCATTTATTAAGACCTAACATGCTTTAGGTTCTCTCTTTCAAACTTCTTGATATTTATTTATGAGTTAAGTAAGTAGGTATCTTGAAACCAGTTTTGGTGTATTGTACTTGGAAAAGTACTTGGACCTGCTTCCTTCTTTGCTTAGTCTCTTTGTCAAATTAAATTTTGTTATTGTTTTTAAAGATTTATTTATTTCTTTGAAAGGCAGGGTTACAGAGAGATGAAAAGACAGAGAGAAAGGCCTTCCATCCACTGGTTCACTTCCTAAATGGCCACAACAGCCAGGGCTGAGTCGATCTGAAACCAGGAACCAGGAGCTTCTTCCAGGTCTCCTACTTGGGTACAGGGGCCCAGGAACTTGGGTCATTTTCCACTGCTTTCCCAGGCCATAAGCAGAGAGCTGGATCAGAAGAAGAGCAGCAGGGACACGAAGCAGCTGGGACACATACTGCTGCCCATATGGGATGCTGGTATCACAGGTGGAAGCTTAGCCTAGTATGCCATAGCACTTGCCACCAAATGAAATTGTTAAAATGTATTGGCTTCACTAAAACTGCACTGTTGAAGAGTATTTGTTGTGCTGAAAATATATTTATAATATATTGCTATTTGTAAACAGAAGGCTATAAACTATATTTATCATCTGTTAAAATGCTATAAGAAAAAGAATAAACACTAAAGTGTTGATTATTCTATTAGGATTATATTTATCTTTTTATTTTTCTATTCCTTTCTATAGGGTGAGCATTTGGCACAGTGGTTCAGATGCCACTTGGGATGCTAGCATCCATATTGAACTGCCTGGGTTCCAGTCCCAGCTCCACTGATCATTCCAGCTTCTTATAGTTGCATACCTTGGTAGGCAGTGGTGTTCGCTGAAGTGATTCAGTCTCTGCCACTCTTGAGTTCCAGGCTCTTAGCTCTGACTGTTGCTGGAATTTGAAGAATGACTGTGTGAATGAAACATTTCTCTCTCAGACAGAGTAGGAGAGAGTGAGTGAGAGAGACAAGGGAGCTCCGCATCCACTGGTTCATTCCCCAACTTCTGCAGACAGCCAAAGCTGAAGCCAAGAACTCTTCAGGTCTGCCACGTGTTTGGCCAACACCTAATCACATCCTGCTTCTCAGAGCCCTGATTAGTAGGAGCAGCAATCAGAGCTGGAGCTGGAATTGAACCCAGGCACTCTGACGAGGGATGAGTGCCTCTTTACAGCTAGGCTAAATGCCTGCTCTTTATTACTTTTTTCTTTTTTTGACAGGCAGAGTGGACAATGAGAGAGAGAGACAGAGAGAAAGGTCTTCCTTTTGCCATTGGTTCACCCTCCAATGGCCGCCGCAGCCGGCGCGCTGCGGCTGATCTGAAGCCAGGAGCCAGGTGCTTCTCCTGGTCTCCCATGCGGGTACAAGGCCCAAGCACTTGGGCCATCCTCCACTGCACTCCCGGGCCACAGCAGAGAGCTAGACTGGAAGAGGTGCAACCGGGACAGAATCTGGCGCCCCAACCGGGACTAGAACCCGGGGTGCCGGTGCCACAGCCAAGTGAGCCAAGTGAGCCGCAGCGTCGGCCTGTAGATTTATTTCTGTTTCTTCCTCAGTTTCCCTTTTATGGAGACATTGAAAAGACTCACCAGTGGACATTAACACAGAAAATGGCGTGAGAAAGGAATATAAAGTAAATGTATTTTTTAGATTTTTATTTTTTATATTTGAAAGAGATACAGAGAAAGGTAGAGACACAGAGAGAGGTCTTCCTCAGCTGGTTCACTCCCCAGATGGCTGCAATGGCGGAAGCTGCGCCGATCCAAAGCCAGGAGTTAGGAGCTTCTTCCAGGTCTCCTACATGGGTGCAGGGGCCCAAGGACTTGGGTCATCCTCTGTTGCTTTTTCAGGCCGTAGCAGAGAGCTGGATTGGAAGTGGAGCAGCTAGGACTAGAACTGGCACCCATATGGGATGCCAGCGCTTCAGGCCAGGGCTTCAACTCGCTGCGCTACAGCGCCGCCCTTAAAAGTAAATGTATTTTTAAGAAAGATTATAAACTAGATGGCAGTTTTGAGAGGAAATGACAGAAATGCAAATGATACAGTTTAGAGGTCTTACTTTTAAATGTGGGATCGTCCCTGAGAATTTTGTAGATTACTTCCTGAAACCCACACTTCACAAACACTTGGAAGAGCCCTACGGACATCAGGTGCTATAGCTCTTGAGTGATTGCCTTTGCGGGCCAGATTCCTGCATTGTGCCACGGGGTGGTGGTGGGGAGGTTCCATGACTGAGGTGAACTGTCTTGACTGCCTTCATCAGCTCAGTCTCCCTCCCTCGCCCCCGTAGGCGGTAACCTTGGCTGGGGATAGAGGCAGCAGCTACAAGGGTTCAGGAGAAAACACTGAGCCGAGAGCAGGGAAGTCCGCCCTTGGAGGGCACACAGACTGCTTGGATGGTGAAGCACGCGAGTTGAGACTGTCATGTGTGTTGCCCGGGACACAAGAGTGCTGTGTTAGACACCCAAGAAATGACGCCCCTGGAGTGTGGCAGAAAAGAATCTGGGGGGCAGGTGGGAGACACCGAGAGGCACCGTCTTTTCCAGATCTGTTGGCAGCCCAGGGCCCTGTGCTTCAGGGTCCCTTCCTAGCAAGCGTGCCAGGCAGGTGGTGTCTCCGACGAGGAGCAAGAGGGCCAGCTCTGAGATTCCTCGAGGAAGTGGGGCTGGCGGCGAGGCGGTGGCGCAGTCAGTTCCCAGCCCGCGCCCGCGTCCTGCCGCAGCCCCCGGCTCGGCCCGGTCATCCTGCCACCGCCGCCGCCGCCTTGGCCTCCTCTGGTCCTCCCGTATCCCTGCATTCCACGCTGCGGCAGTCGCAGCATCGCGGGCCCAGGCGGCCTCCACCCCTCCCATCAGCCTAGCGCAGCCGCCCTCGCCCCGGCCCGCGCCCCTCGGGGGCCTCGGCTCCGGGCGGCCGCAGGACCCCGCCCGGCTCGACCGCCGCCGCCGCTCCGGCGGGGGCGGGGGCGGAGGAGGAGGAGGCGGGGAGCGGAGGGGAGGGGAGGGCGTGTGCGCGCGCGTGGGGGAGGGCGGGGCCGCCATATTGGATCCGGACTAGTCCGCCAGCCTCCGCCTGCGTGTGGCAGCGACGAGGGGAGCCTCGCGGCGCCTAGGGCGCGAGCGCGAGAGGAGAGGGAAGGAGGGGGAGGCAGAAAGGGAGAGGAAGGGAGTGGTTGCGAGCCGGGCTGCGGCAGCCTCTGGGCTCCTTACCGGCGGCACCAGCCCCTCCTCCTGCGCCTCGCAAGGCTGTCTCCCAGTCGCCAAGGAAAGATGCCCTTAACCCAGGGGTGTGAAGAAGGGGGAGAAGTCGCTGCCGGAGCCGCCCGTGCCTTCGCCCGTATCCTTTGAATTCGGAAGAGCACTCCCCCGCCCCCCGCCAGGGGCGACGCGAGCCTCCGGCGCGGCGGCCGCGGTGCGGGTGTGAGGGAGACCCGGCTCTGCGCCCGGCGCGGCCCACGAACGACCACCGCCATGGCCCGGGCTCGGGCGGCCAAGTAGCCGCAGCTCCCGGAGTCCGGGCGCCCGAGCCGCCCGCAGCCCGCCTTCCCACCTCCGGCCGCGCCGCGGGGTCGGGCCCCTGGGAGAAGCCGGGAGAAAAATGAGGAGTCTTCACCGGAATTCGTCGGAAATAGGACTAATTGCAAAGCCTTAAAAAAGAAGGACGTCGGGAGGATTAAGGAAAAGCCTTCTCCGGGCTGGACTTGGCGTGCTCTGAGGCGAGGGGCTGCCTCAGGGACCGAGCCCCCTCCCTTTCCCGCTGGAGAAGTCGCCGCGGATGCATTATCCAAGTGGTGGTTGGGCGGATTTGCAGCAGAATTTTTGGTTTTCCCTCCCCCTTCTATACATTCTGTTTTCTCCCCCTCCCATAGCTATTTTCCTTTTTCCTGGGAAGTGAGTTGCTGATGCAAATGGGACTTTATTCATTGATGATGCAGTCGGATTCGTTTCAGGATTATGTTGCACGAATTGAATTTTGAATGAAGAAGAGTTTTTTTTTTTTTTCCTTAAAGAAGTGTGGATTCTTTATTCGGTCGTACTTTTAATTATTTTATTTAAACAGACGATTTAATTGTATTCTTTTAAGATGTATTAAATATATATTTGATGGCAACACCTTCCAGATAGATGTATATGGGTGAAATTGAAGACGCTTCAATCAAGTGAGTTTCTTGGTGTGTTGGATGTTTAATTCAGCACCGGCATTACATGACAGTTGTTTGAATAACAAGTGGTTCATTTTTAAAACCACACCTCTCAAAATTTAGGCTCAAATAATAATAGTCAAAAGGCAGTATACGAATTTAAAGGCAAACCAGCGGAAATTGAAGCCAACATGTCTGGCGAAGTGCGTTTGAGGCAGTTGGAGCAGTTTATTTTGGATGGGCCGGCTCAGACCAATGGGCAGTGCTTCAGTGTGGAGACCTTACTGGATATACTCATCTGCCTGTATGATGAATGCAATAATTCTCCATTGAGAAGAGAGAAGAACATTCTTGAATACTTAGAATGGGGTAAGTGTGCTTTAAAGAAAATCACCTTTAGCTGGGCGTTATGATTTAGTTGTTTCAGAGTTACAAGTGAACTGTAATGGAAGAAGTAATATGTATTCACAATGGAAGAGTGGACACCAGTTATGCAAGTTTTTTTTTTTCTCTCTCTAGTTTTTGGTAAAATTTCCCAGGGCTAAAGCCGTGCTACTCAGTTGTTGTTTCGATGTAAGGTTTGGCTGATGTGGAACTTAAGGTTTTTAGGTCAGCAATAAGAGGTTTTAAAATAAGTGCTGTCATGGGCTAAGATGGATTTTTGCTCCCCGTTGCCTAACGCGTGGCAGTGTCGCAGCCATTCAGTTGGAAGATAGTTGTTGGTGGGAAGAAACAGTACTTCCCAGACTCTGAAGTCACTGGGCAGATAGGAGGTGTGAAAATATCCGTGTTTACTTTAGGTGAACAGGAACGCGGGTTTTGGTTCATCTCTTGTAGTGCAAAGTAAAAGAAATGAGGTAAACCTGAACTTCAGATAAAGTGACATAAGCATTTAAAAATTTTTCCGACAGTGGTTAATGGAAAAATGGCAGCTCCTGCAGTTTGCAGTTTAGATGTTTTACTTTGAATAGAATGTAAATCTCAACTAGTGAGATTTTTGACTTGATTCTCCTGAAGTTGTGACTCAGAAGATCTGCTGTAGTGGCTAGCTCAGAGGTGGGAGCAAATGCTGCCTGTGACCTTCAAGCTGGAAGGCTTGGCTGAAGTTCTAGCTCCCGAGGTTTGTTACACAGGGGCGGGCGCTCTCTGATGGCCAGCGGCGGCTGGAGGCTGAAGTCCACACCAAGTTCACAGTGGTATTTTGCCCAAATGGTATTTTGTACCTTTGGAATGCTCATAATTTTAGTTGGTTGGAAAATTTTACACTAAAATATCTTTGTTTCCGAGTAGAGCTTTATTTTCTAGAAGTAAAAGTCATGTGCTGATTTTTTTCTTTTTTGGATTTGGAATTTCGTGAAAATTAGTTTCTAGGTAAACCACTGATTTACAAATTCTAACACGTAATAACTTTAATTATTCCCTTTGTCAGTGTTGGAAGATTTCTAGCAACATGCTGTCATGAGGCTTTAAAATGTGAAAAGGATGATTTTTAAAAACAGACTACCAGACTCATCTTGGGAATTTCAGAAATGTAAACCATCTTCCAAGTGAAGTGACTTCTCTCTTACGAGATGATTTTGATTTTGTTAGTGGTTTGTGGGCATAAATGTCTTATTTTTATGTGGAGAGTAAAATCTTTTGTAAGACATGTAGTTTTACATCCTGTGTTTCATAAATTTAGACATTCTGTAGTGTTTTCTTTTGGAAACTTAAAATGCTTTGGTAGTTTTAGAGTTGGAGTTAAAGTTTATAAATTATGGTCCGTAGCGACGCTGTAGTCTGATTGTGATTCTCATTTAATATCCTTTCTCATCTGCAAATGATGTACTGGTACTGTTTGTACCAGTAGTAAATAGAATTTAAAGTGATTTATGATAAAAGAGAATACCATCTTCTGTTATCTTTTAATTGTTACAATTTACACTGTTGGTTTATGCCATGACATATCTTGCTTTGTTAGCAAAATAATTTACATTTTTCATTAAATATGTTTTCTTAGATGTTTCTTTATGTTTAAAAATACTTTGTTTATATATTTTTATTTAACCTATATTAGCCAAAAATTAAGTAAGTCTACAAATACATTTTATTTTTATTGATATACTTTAAATAATTTCAAACTAGGAGCTTCTCCTAATTTAAAGTAAATTGTTTTATTCTGCCCTTCACATTTTGTCTGTGTAAAAGTCTGCTGTATGGCATCACAAAAATGTATAGTCACAAGTGAACTGTTGGTTTTCAGTATCAAAAAATAAGAAAATAGAATTTTGAAGGAATTATTTTGTACGCTTTGGGGCTGGGTAGTGTCTGTTAAATCTTAGGCATTTTTAAGTTGGCATATGAGATCATGAAAGCTGGGATTATTATCCACAGAAGTTTCCGTAAAGAGTTAAAGAATGAAAAAGTTAAGAATGGGAGAACTATCAAGATTTGTATCATGGTTAGTAAGTAGTATTTACAGTCTTTGAGTTATTTGAGAGTTTGGTTAAGAATGTCAATCTATGTAAGTTTTGAAATAGATCAGCTATTATTTATGTATGAACTGATTATTACATTTTGAGGAAATGCCCTATTTTATTCTCATTACCAAACATCTAAAACAAGCAGTCTAGATTAAGGAAGTTTCCAGCTTGTGAATTGACCTTGATTTAATTTTTTGAACTTTTTTTTGTCTCCAGTGGAAATTTGCAGATCACTTTTTGTTCGATTTTAATAATTCAAAAAGTATTGGGTCTTTTATTTAAATCTTTTAAAAACCCAACATTTACAATAGGAGAGCACTATATTATATATTTGTGTCTGGTAGTTCAGTTTGTGGAAGTGTCATTTAGAGACTTCTTATTTTTATGCTGATAAAATGTTCCTTTAATAAAAAAAGGAAGATTTTTATTTATTTGAAAGGCAGAATGACAGGGAGAGAGGAAGAGGGAGGGAGGGAGAGAGAAATGTGCATGTGTTTGTGGAGGAAGTGATTCTACCTATGGGGAGAGAGAGAGAGATATCTATCGATCTTTTATTTGCTGGCTCATTCCCACATGGCCGCAACAGCCTTTGCTGGGCCAGGCCCAAGCCAGAACCCTGGAACTCCCTCTGGATCTCCCATCAGGGTGGCAGATTCCCAAGCACTTGAGCCATCTTCTGCCGCTTTCCCAGGCACATTAGCAGGAAGTTCTATTGGAAGCTGAGTAGCCAGGACTGGGACTGTATGTAGTATGCCAGTGTTGTCAGTTTAACCTTCTGTGCAACAATGCTGGCTCTTATTAAAGGTTACTTTTTAAAGCGAAGATTCAATATTACATAATTTACATCCATTTTATTTATTCCTAGTTATGGTTCATTTTGCTTTTTTATTGGTTCAGTTATTGCTTTGTTCCAAACAGCATCAAGAGGATAAGAAAACTGATAATTCATGGGGCTGGCACTATGGTGCAGTGGGTTAAAGGCCCGGCCTGCAGTGCCAGCATCCCATATGGGCGCCAGTTCAAGTACCGGCTGCTCCACTTCTGATCCAGCTCTCTGCTATGGCCTGGGAAAGCAGTAGAAGATGACCCAAGTCCTTGGGGCCCTGCACACATGTGGGAGACCTGGAAGAAGCTCCTGACTCTTGGCTTCAGATCCTCTCATTTCTGGCCATTGCGATCATTTGGGGAGTGAACCAGCAGATGGAAGACTTCTCTCTCTCTCTCTGGTTCTACCTCTCTCTGTAATTCTGTCTTTCAAATAAATAAATAAATCTTTTAAAAAAAGAAGAAAACTGATAATTCAGAGCCAGATCTATTTTTTTTTGACAGCATTGCCCGCTTTTGGTATTGATGGTTTGAGGGAGAAATAGAGGAGAAAAGGGGATTAAACCAATGAGCAATAGAGCAAGGGATGAAAGTGCCTTAAGGTCATGGATCAATTTTTTTTTTAAAAAACAGATTGACTTATTTATTTGAGAAGCAGAATTACAGAGGGAGAGAGCGATTTATTTATTTATTTATTTAAGAGGTAGCATTACAGACAGAGGGAGAGACAGAGAAAGGTCTTCCATCTGCTGGTTCACTCCCTAGATGGCCACAATGCTTGGTGTTGAGCTGATCAGAAGCCAGGAGCGCTTGGGCCATCTTCCACTGCTTTCCCAGGCCATAGCCAAGAGCTGGTTCAGAAGAGGAGCAGCCGGGACTAGAACTGGCATCCATATGGGATGCAGGGCCCCACAGGCAGAGGATTAACCTACTGCGCTACAGCACCTGACTGGAGAGGTCTTCCATCTGCTGGTTCACTCCTCAAATGGCCACAAATGCCCAAGCTGGGCCGATTTGAAGTGAGGAGCCAAGGAGCTTCTTCCTGGTCTCCCAAGTGGGTGCAGGGGTCCAAGCACGTGGGCTGTCTTCCTTTGCTTCCCCAGGCCATTAGCAGAGAGTTGAATCAGAAGAGTAGCTGGGACACAAACCAGCACCCATATAGGATACTAGCGCTTACTGTGCCACAGAGCCGGCCCAATCAATTTTAAATTTAATAATACATATTATCTTCTAGCAGTATAACTTTAAAATAAGCTATAATAGAATTGTTGAAGTGAAATTAACTTTTATGTTATAAACTAACTTGCTGTTAATGATTAAATGACTACATTATTCATTGAGTTGGCTACCCTCTAGTTTGAAAATTTAGAAGGAAATTTTTTTTTTAAGATTTATTGATTTATTCGGAAGTCAGAGTTAAACAGAGAGGAGAGGCAGAGAGAGAGAGAGGTCTTCTATCCTATGGTTCACTCCAGCTACAATGGACGGAGCTGCACCGATCCGAAGCCAGGAGCCATGAGCTTCTTCTGGGTCTCTCTTGTGGGTGCAAGGGTCCAAGGACTTGGGCCATCTTCTGCTGCTTTCCCAGACCTTAGCAGAGAGCTGGATCAGAAGAGGAGCAGCCGGGACTAGAACCGGTGCCCATATGGGATGCTGGCGCTTTAACCCTCTATGCCACAGCTTTGGCCCCTGCCAGTTTACTTTTTTTTTTTTTTTGGACAGGCAGAGTGGACAGTGAGAGAGAGAGACAGAGAGAAAGAAAGGTCTTCCTTTGCCGTTGGTTCACCCTCCAATGGCCGGCGGCCGGCACGCTGTGGCCGGTGCACTGCTCTGATCCGATGGCAGGAGCCAGGTACTTATCCTGGTCTCCCATGGGGTGCAGGGCCCAAGTACTTGGGCCATCCTCCACTGCACTCCCTGGCCACAGCAGAGAGCTGGCCTGGAAGAGGGGCAACCGGGACAGAATCCAGCGTCCCGACCGGGACTAGAACCTGGTGTGCTGGCACTGCAAGGTGGAGGATTAGCCTAGTGAGCCGCAGCGCCGGCCCTGCCAGTTTACTTTGAAAATTGATGTATTAGGCT